CATCCATCCGCCTACCCATCCACCCATCCATCACCCATCTACCCACACATCACCCATCCACCCACCCACTCAACCATTCACCCACCCATCCATCCACCTACCCATCCACCTACCCATCCACCCACTCATCCATGCACCTACCCATCTACCCATCCACCCACCCATCCATCCACCCACCATCTATCTATCCATCCACCCACACATTCATACATCACCTATCTACCCATCCATCCACCTACCCATCCACTCATCCATCCATCTACCCAATCACCCATTCATCACCCATCTACCCACACATCACCCATCCACCCACCCACTCATCCATGCACCTACCCATCCACCCACCCATCCATCTACCCAATCACCCATTCATCACCCAGCTACCCACACATCACCCATCCACCCACCCACTCATCCATGCACCTACCCATCCACCCACCCACTCATCCATGCACCTACCCATCCACCCACCCACTCATCCATCCATCCACCCACCATCTATCCATCCACCCACCCACCCACCCATCCATCCATCCACCTACCATCTATCTATCCATCCACCCACCCATTCATACATCACCCATCTAACCATCCATCACCCCTCTACCCATCCACCCACCCACCACCCATCCATCTTTCCTTCCTTCCTTCCTTCTACTCACCCACCCACCCATTCCCTCCTGGCTCACCCAGGAGCTGCTCAGGGCTGGGAAGTGTGGGAGGTTTGGGGGTTTCTAACCAGTCCCCAGGGGACAGGCTGCACTGTGAGCTCAGGCGCGGCGGCCGTGGGCTGACTCCGTGACCTCCACATGTCGGGGCCAGCTGACCTTGGAGGTCCGCAGGCCTCACATCTTGTGGGCCCTGGGGTCTAAAATGCGGGGGAGCCTTGGGGCCTCAGAGGGTGTGGGCTGGCCTCAGTGCCCGGCGCGGCAGGACAGCCAGGGCAGTGTCCACCGCGGCCCTTGGAGCTGGTGAGGCCGCGGGTGAGCTGAGGTTTCACCAGAGTGAGGGGCAGGGCTGCCAGACGAGGCGCACATTTGAATTTCACAGAAACAAGCAATAAACCCTGAACTGAGGCAGGACCCAAAACACAAAGCTGGCCGTCTCTGGGGACCTGGGCAAGGGCGCTCGAAGTGAGGCCCAGGCCCCAGCTCTGCGGTGACCTCCAGGGAGACCGCGGCCGAGCTGCCTCTGGGCCCCACACGTGCATCATGCCCACCTCTGTTTCCAGGAGCCAAGAAGAAATACCTGCCCCCTAGTTCCCGGAAGGACCCCAAGTTTGAAGAACTGCAAAAGGTAGGGCAGCCTCAGCACCGATGCTCTGGGGTCCGTCCCCTGCCTGGCACTTGCCTCCACCTGGGGGACAGCAGGCTGCCCTCTCCCTTCCTTGGCCTCTGACTGACGGGGGGGGACCCGTAGGCCCTGGAGACCTGCTGAATGCCGAGCGCCAACCTGTGCCTGGCACACCCCATCCACCTCATGACTGTCGATGGGGACTTCTGTCACCTGTGTACCAGGGAGAGGTAGCAGACCGTGTGGGCCACCCAGCTCGCCGTGACATAGGACCTCAGCCTTGGTCCTATTTCCCACTTGGCCACCCAGGACAGAGGGGAGCTGGTGGCCGGTGGGTGTGGGCCTGGGCCACCTGTTCTCGTTCTCGGCTGGGCCATGGGTCCTCTGCTGTCCCGGCTGGTGTTGGTGGGCTGGGCCTCCCCTTCCACAGTCTCTGTGGCTCTGTGGACCTTCCCCCCTCTCTCCTCCACCCCTTCCCACCTGCCACCGCGCACAGCCCTGCTGGCCCTGGGTCCTAGAGAAGAGCCCCCTGGCCAACAGCCTTCTGGGTTTGGGTCCCCAGAAGCTGGTCGTGAGCTGTGGATTTGGGTTGGGGTCATCCCAGGTGTGGAAGGAAGGGGCCAGCGCAGAGAGGGACGGATGGTCATGGCCACGGGGACTTGAGCCTGTGTCCCAAGAGTCAGCTCAGTACAGAGGCCTCCGTGTCCCACCCGGTGCCTCGTGTCATCCGCCTGCTGTGACCTGTCCCCACAGGGTTGGGCCTCCAGGGACAGCCCCAGGCAGAGCTGTGGGGCAGCTGGCCAGTGTCACCTCCGTGGTGAAGCTTGGGGTGGGGTTGGAGGAGGACCTCAGCAGCCCTGTGCCCGCCCTGTGCCAGCCGTAACATGTCACCCCCAACCAGGTGGCCTAGAGCCGGGGGAACGCCACCCCTGGGAGTTCTGGAGGCCGGAAGTCCCACTTGCAGTCTTGCAGGAGTCTGGAGCCTGAGGGGACAGCCCGGGCCTGTGTCAGGATGCAGGCCCTCCCTGGCTGTGGAGTGGGCT